GCCGCCGCGCGCGCCGATGGCGTCACCGCGCTGCCCGGCGCGGCGCGGACACCTAAGAGCCGGCGGCCAGGAAGGACCCCGCCCAAGGCGCCGTGTGAGGGGACGCGGCCGCGCCGGGAGTGGAGCCCCGAGAGCTCCCCGAGACCGCCGGGCACCGCGTCCCGGGGCACCGAGCCACACCGCGGCTCTCCCTCCCCCCCGGAGCACCGAGTCCCAGGCCCCGACGTCGGATCTCCCCCTGGGCCCAGCGGGGGCAGTGGGAGGGCTCCCCCGGCCGAGGATGTCTGGCAGCGGCCCAGGAAGGCCGGCGGAGGTGGGTGCGAGCAAGGGGCTCTCGGCGGCCCGGTCGTTCCTCCGTGGTCTCTGTCTCAAGTAGTCTCAAGGCCTCTTGTCCTTTTTCACTGGGGGTTGTTCTGACTTTTACTAAAGAGAGATTTGGTTTGGTGTCACTTGAAGCGACCCTCCCCTTTGACGGGGGCATCGCGGGTGGCTGCGCAAATCCGGCCTAAAGTCGGTGTGTGTGACAGTAACGGTGCCGGGCACGGTGCGAGGTGTCCGAGAAGGTGCAGGAGGAACCCCAGAACCTCCTGTAGCCCCGCAAACCGCCCCACAGCCCCCGCTTTCCAAACCCCTCAGAGACGGCTCTGGGTGCAGCTGGGTCCGGTGCCAGCCCCAGAGCTGGTCGGTGGCTGGTGTGGACAGCATTGTGCAGATGTCACTGAGCCTCACACAGCCTTGTCCTGCAGGATCGAGGCTGCCAAACCAGATGTCTTTATGCGAGTGTACTTGATAATGATTGGAGAAAGAGATTTTAATCAGTCTTATTCACTACACAGTACAGGCACTATAACCAAGGCACTATAACCACTGCTGTTGTGGAACAACAGCTGAAATGTGAATATGCTTTATGAACAGGGGAAATATATATTGGAGGTGCTTTCCAGCTTAAATGATTCTGTGGTTCTTAACACTGAGGCAATTGTATTAAAGCCAGCAAAAACAATTACAGAATGGGGATTACCAGTACTCACCCAAGCTGTGTGCGTTTGGCTCAGCCTCAGGCAGTGACCCTGAGATCACATCATCCCCACTCCAGAAGGAATCCCCACACCCACCAAGGAGGGAAATGTCAGGAGATGCTGCCTTTAAAATCTGGGATGGGGCTTTTGTGGTCTGAAGTGCTGCCCTGTCAGTCAGATGTGCCCAGGCACTGCCAACTCAGCAGCTCTGCAGAAGCTTTCAGTGCTGGCACTTGGTTGTTCCTTTCTCTGGGCATTTGACCAGCTTCAGCTCCCTCTCAGGCTGTTGAACTTTGGGATGGAGGAGTCAGCCTGGTTTCAGCATTATTCACCCCAAAAGCAGCATGACAACCCTCCTGCATTTCCCAGTGAGGACTTTGCAAGCAGGGCCTTGCTGGAGCTGTTTGAGCCCATTGCAGGCAGAGCCTCCTGCTACATCCAGCTCTGAGTGTCCTGTCTGCCAGCACTCTGCAGTGCTGGTTTAGAGTTTTCACAGCCCTTTCGGGGGATGCTGTGTCTGCTCTCACATGTCCCACACCGAGGGGCTGCCACAGGACCCCTGTGCTGTTACTTGGGGGTGAGTCTGCCGCCCCGTCCCAGCAGGGTGTTCCTCAAATCCAGAATTAAATCCTGGTGTTGTTGCCAGCAGTGTTGCTTGTCTTGGCATGGGCTCTGGTTCAGCCCAAGCTGTGCAGAGCAGCAAACACTCCCTGATTTTACTGTGCTGCCTCAATAACTGTCCTCTGCCATCTCTTCCTAACCTTTATGCACAAATGGTTGTGCTGTATATATTTTTAAAAAGGGGGCAAAAAGTGCCACATACTGAACACTGCACAGAGACAGTGTGAACATTGCCATCATGTAAAAGTGGTCTGAGTAAGCTGACAGTGCTTTTTCATTCTGTTTTGATTCTTTAGGTTGGATGTGCATTTGTGGAGTTCTCAACTTGTTCTGATTTGCCAGTTCGCTGCCAAATACTCCTGGCACAATAATGCAGCCTTTTTTTTAACACAGAACAACCGTGGAACCCCAGACCAGTTGTACTTGGGACAACCCTAAAACCATCCAGCCCCACCCCAGCCATGGGCCTGGCCTTGGGCACTGCCAGGCATGGGGCAATGTACATTTGATAAATTTGATAAAAATCTCCCATTTTCTACAGACAGCCATGCCCAGCGGAGGGGAGGAGAGCGCTGCATTCTCCTAGATGTTTGTGTTTCTGCAGGTGACAGACTGGCTGTCACAGCCGTTTGATGAGTTCTTCGGAAGCCCAGGCATTGCCCCCTGTGCGGTTGCTGTGAAGGCGCTGAGGGGCGGCTCTGGCAGGGGCCGTCGGCAGAAGCAGAGAGACCCGAGCCCCGCGGCAGAGAAGAGCAGAGCCACGGCTCCTCCCAGGAAAAGAGCCAAGCCGTGCGCTGCGGACCCGCCCTGTGCCCGGCCTGGGCGGAGCCGGAGCCAGGCCCGGGAGGAGCTGCCGTGGGTGGAGAGATACCGACCTGAAAGCCAGGTGTGCGAGCTCCTGCAGTGCCCATCTAGTGGGGACACCGCTGGGACACGTTGTGCTTCTGTCCACAGCCTGCAGCAGCCAGGCTCTCACCATGCCCTGTCTGCTAAAGCACAGGGGTTATGGGTCACTGATTCACTGTCAGTGCTGATCGATTCACTGCCAGCCAGTGCACGAAGCCACACCCCAGGCAGCTCTGTCTGTAGGAGATACACGTTCCCCCAGGCTTCCTGAGCAGCTTCCTGCACAGGAGATGTTTCCTGTCAGTCCACCTGTAAACTCCTGAACCTGTGACTGAATTCTAGTACATCCAGTACTCCAAGACAGCTATGTGGGATTTGCACAAGTTCCAAAAAACCTCAGCAGTACTAGAGTAAAGAAGGTAAAAAGGACTATCTCCAGCAGTAGCTATGAGGTATCCTGACACAGACAAGACTGAAGTGTCATCACTTAAAGAATAATAAATAACTCATTATTTCCCGACTACAAAGGATGGAAAACTGATTGTTTGAGGAAACAGGATGAGATTGTCGTCCTTAGCTGTGGCACTGCTTCTGCAGAGCACACACGTAACGGAAGCACACACCAGCATGTCTCCTGATATTTTACCCAGCGTTTATTCTATTCTTTAATTTCATCATTAGAAACCAAGAGTTCAGTATATAACTTTCACATATTTTAATTTTGTTTCAGAATGACCTTGCTGTGCAAAAGAAGAAGATTGAGGAAGTTGAAACCTGGTTAAAAAAACACATAGTTCAGAGGCAGCCAAAGCAGGTAAACTTGCTAAAATCATCAAACCATACTATTGAGCTGGACGCAATTTCAGGTTCAGAGAACTGAGAGAGATAGCAATTCTGTAGCTTCTGCATTGTAGGAAATACCCTAAGAACATAGGTTAGAGCTTGTACATTTAATTTGGGCTTATGCTCCTAAGTGGTGGATTCTGGTTTTGCTCAGAAATACTGTTTTCTGGCATCCAGTCATAAATCACAACTCCTCAGTATGTGTTTGAAGCTGCATTTTATCTCTGCCAGGTTAATTTTTAAGTCTCGTGACAAATTTCCAGCTGCACTGAGTTGGTGTAAGGAAGGTGAGGATGTTGTTAATCTTGGCTGATAAGAAGTGTTCTGAGACACAAATTGCCAGCCTTGCCTACTAGAGCTGGCTCTCCAGATGAATGTCGTGTTGGCAGTCACATGCAGTTTATTTACCAGAGGCACTGGGAGCAGAGCAAGGCTCTCAGAGTCCTGGCCTGGTTCTCTGAGTATGCAGCAGGTAAATTTACAGCACAGAATGTGTAACTGGGGTTTCACTGGGAGAGAGGATAATTACCAGAGAAACTGCAGGAGAAATTCAACCAATATTCATCCTTAGCCAACTGTCAGTCTTTATTTATCACATTTGTGATCATGTTTTGTATCTCTGTGGCAGGGTGGCTCTGTCTTGCTGCTGACTGGCCCTCCTGGCTGTGGAAAAACTGCGACTCTGCAAATTCTAGCCAGAGATCTTGGCCTTCAGGTGCAAGAATGGACCAATCCACTCTCTTTAGACTTCACAAAGGAAGACTTGAGAAATATGTTTGGCCATGGTAAGTATGTTGAAGGATTTTATTTTTACCTTTTCTTTTCCCCCTCCAGTTACTTTTGTGGGTTTTTGATCTTGTATTTTTGCTTTGTTTCTGTCTGTCACATATGAAAGCAGATCTACATCCATGTAAATCCATTCCTTAGTGTTCAATGAGAATCTTTCTGTTGCTTTTATCTGGAAAAGGTTTTGGGCTTTTTTACAGTCTTTAGTCCAAAATAATTGACAATTCAAATACAGAATAGAGAGCTCTGTAATAGCCTGGATGTAATTTGAACAAAATAAATGAAAATAGGTAAGTGTCTTTGTCTGGGTCCTCAGTTGAATTACACCCCTTTAAAAATTCTCCTGTGTTTGTCATATGTTTGCCAAAGAGCTTGTTCATTGCTGCTGTCAGAAAATAGCATGGGTGGGTATTAGTTCATGTGGGTATTTATATTTTACTTGGTGTAATATAGAATACATATTTTTAATTAGTTTTCTTTTTCAGACTCAAATTTTCATACGTTTCCGAGTCAGGCCCAAGCAGCTCTCTTTCAAGATTTTCTATTAAGAGCAAATAAGTATAACAAACTTCAGATGCTTGGGGAGTCCTCAGAAAATGATAAAAAGCTTATTCTTATTGAAGTAAGTGAAAACTTGTGAAATGTTGTGTTTAAAACAGTACATTTTGTTGCAATATTGACGTGCTGACTAGCTTCAGATACTTAAATGGTGTTTGCCAGAGTTAGTCTGCTTTACTGCAGATGAGATCTTCACTACATTTTGTGTCTCTGCAGCAGTCCAGAGACACATCCTACCTGTAGTTAGTTATGCCACAGAAGCAAGTAGTCAGGCAGAAATGGGAGTCTGGTCTGAGCACAGAAGTACAGAACAGAATATCAAAAAGTAGAGCAAACAATACTGAGAAGTCATTCCCATGTTTCTGGATGATTAAGTTTCTGGAAATACATATGTGTATAAACAGGAGGGGTGGCAAGCACACCACTATTCCTGTTCTTCAGTGATGCAGGAGAGTGTAGGGGACACATGAGAACGAAGACAAGCAGGAACAGTTGAAACTTTAGCACTTTCTCCCTGCTTTTACACAGGTGGTGGTGTTGAGGGCAGAAGTGTAAGCTGAGGGTTTGTGGGCAGGTACAGGACAAGTCTTTATTTGTATTTGTGTAGAAGTGTGTTTCAATAGCAGTTTCTTTCTGAACTTTTCAATTCTTTTCCTGAGAGAAATTTTAGAAACTGGTAGTCAGATTGTCTGTAAACTTTCAAGACCAAAACAGACAGAAATTCTGGTAGAGTAATGCAGTGTACTGTAGAATTTAGGAAGCAGAATCTCATGAGACTTGTCTTTATAAAGGCACCTTCTTGTGCAGGTCCTGTCACACCTCACGTGGGTATCCTGCCCTCCTCCCCAAGGGAGCTGCTTCCTGGAGTGTTTGTCCTCTGGGCAAAACTCTTGTTCCCAGGCTGTGTGATCACCCAGGGCTGTGTCTTAGGAAACTGGGACAGCAAGAAAACGCTTCATTGCAGATGATGGTTTTCCATAATGAGACATCCTGTGCACTGGGCTTGTTTCCCCTGCTGCTCCTCTGTCTGTCTCTAGCTGTGTTCTAAATGTAGCTGACAGCAAGCAAACCCGGAGCTAAAACTACGTGGCAATGTAGAGTGCCATGACAATCAGTCTGTGCAGGAGAGTTTTACATCTGAATGTAATGACAGCAGCTCTTTGTTTTGGGCAGGACATCCCGAACCAATTCTACCGAGACCCTGGCAGTCTACATGAAATCCTCAGGTCAGTGGCAAACAAGTTGTTAATTATGAGCTTTAGCAACTTGCAAAGCTGGAGTTCATCACATTTTGCTGTTTTGCAATGCAGGAGTTTTGTTCGTAGGAGTAGGTGCCCCCTTGTCTTTATAATCTCAGATAACTTCAGTGGAGACAGCAGCCAGAGGTCACTATTCCCTGCAGAAATTGTAGAGGAGTTGTGTATAAACAGTATTAGGTAAGATCTTCTACCTCATTAAAACATGGTTCAAACAACTGAGAGGTTAGAAACTAATGTTGGTTTTTTTTTTTTAATGGAATTCAACAGTTTCAAGCCTGTTGCACCAACAAATATGATGAAAGTTCTGAATCGAATAGCTGCAGCAGAAGCCAGTATGGTAAGTTGCTGAAGCTCATAATTTCTGTGCAGTGCTAGGACCATATAAAAAATGGGTTTTTTGTTACTGTACTTGATCTTTGAAAGCAGAACCCTTCATCTCCCCAAGGCAAAAAACATTTTCCCCGACAACAACAAAAAACAAGGAACAAGCTGAAAAGACACCTTGTTTTTAAGATGAGTTTCACTTGATCACTGGTCTGAGTCTACAAAGTTGCTCCTGAAAATTCTTCTGGTTATTAGAATAACTGTATAAATGAAACAAATAATAGGAAGAGATACAATCTTTCACATATCCAACTGGCCAGAAGAGGTCATGAACCTAAATCCTGTATTATCCCTGACCTGTTTTGATTACAAGTATCATATTGAGTCACACCTTGCAAGGAGTTATGTGTATTTTCTCTTTAATATTGTTGTGTAAATTGTGACAGTGTTCTTTAAAGGTCACAGTATTCTGTTTGAGCACACGGTGGATACTCTTGTGTCTGTTGCAGGTGTGTGAGAGGTGGGTTCCCAGAGCCATGTTCAAATAGTCCTTTTCTTGCTCTTCTATTGCTTTAATGCTGGTTTTCCTTGTAGAACAGAGAGAAGAATTACGCCCTTGATAGAACTTCTCTGGAGTTGCTTTGCAGAGGTTGTTCAGGTGACATAAGAAGTGCAATAAACAGCCTTCAGTTTTCCTCTATGAAAGGTAAAAATTATGGTTTTATTAAGTGATATTTTGAGCATTTCTGCTGAAAACACGTTCTGTGCACAGTTGCAGCACAGGTGGGTGAGTTGCAAAAACATTCTTGACACGCTTCTGTGGAGCAGGAATAAACACAGAGTGTGTGGGGGCGTGACTGGGGCTCAGCTGCTGCAAGCTGGGGTTAAACCATGACATCTGTGTATGTGCTGATGTAATTTGATCAAGTACCCTCTTCCTGATGTCTTTGCTATTTGTGTTTGCTGTTCAGAGCTTCTGTGATGCCGACTGGGTTTGAAAGGGATCCTTTCATTGCTTGGTTTTTGCCTTTCCTAAACTGTTTATTTTATGAGCATTTTACAAGGCAGTAATGGTTAAGGAACCAATGTCTGTCAGTTGCATTTTTAAAAGCAGTACTCTGGCATGTGTTGTTCATTCTTGGGACTGCAAAATGGTGACATCACTTACGCTAAACTTAGACCTAAGGAAACAGGCTCATCAATTGTCTTCTGCTATATGTGGTAGAGCTGGCAATGTTTCTGTCATACATTTTTTCCTCCCATTTGCTTTGCAAATACCAAATGTGCTCATGGAATACAAGATTAAAGGTAGTTTCAAGTCCATTTTTAAGAGGGAGTGTTGTACTTTTCTAATTTTAGGGTATATTGAAGTTAGCAGGGCAGTGTTAGTTGTATTACACAAGGGAGAGAGTAAAGTTTCTACCTTTAACTTGCAGATGTTGAAGGTCAACTGTTCTGATGATGTCTTCAGGTGTAGCAAGCTTGGGTTGTTCTGTGTGAATCAGAAAAGCAGAGGATTGCTCTCAGTGTGGTGATTATGCCATTAGTATGAGTGGATGTTAGATTGGTGATACCTGAGAGAAGCATGCAGTGTCTCACTGCTGGATACATCCTCCAGAAAATCTAAATAACGTTAAAATAACCAGTTTGTGAAACTTTTAATAAGTTACCGTGGTTAACTTAACCATGGAGTTAGAGCTGTGTAGAAAACAAAGGCATATGACTTCAGAGCTTCTTGTACATGGACTGCTGGAGTCGCGCACTGAAGTCACAGCACACCGAGCATTCTCCTCTCACGTTTTCTCTGACACTGGGAGCGTGTTTGAGCAGAACAGCTTTAGTTGTGCAGGTATTTCAGTGAGGTGAAACGTGATGCTGCCAGTGATACTCTGCAAGTCTGGGGGACACCCTCTCTCCTTGCTCGTCTCCTGAGCATGCAGCACTTGTTTTTAGCTGTGTAAGGTGTGTTGAATCTTCATGTGTGTATCTACACGAGCACAACTGATACATTCACTTTGAAACACTAATAATGGGTGAAACAGATCCACGGTGATTGTGGGAGAAAAGAAAAATAAATACCTGATGGAGAATTTATCTTAGCTCAATAAGGAACATTCAAATGCCACAAAATGAAATTGTGGGTGAAAAATTTCAAGTTTATTAACTCAGACTAGAATAAAGATTTTATTTCATGAAGCTCCAAACTTTGTGGAAGGTATTAGGCAGTTGGAAGAATCACCTAAATGAAAGGTTTTCTTTGCCACTTCATTTTCCAGGGAGGTTATTGTACAGTTAATGGCAGTAGAAGACAAAATTGATAAGTAAACAGGATGTAACTGAAATAACAGGATGTAACTGAAATATAATTTACATACATTCATTTGTACTTGTGCTTTATAAACATGAAAATCTAAACGTGGTCAAGTGGGGAATGCATCAGAGCTAGAAGGGATAAGCCTGAATGGTTTTTTCAAAGACAGCTGTTTATTATTCAAAAAATTACTTGGTACCTCAGCTGTGGCTTAAGGGACAGAAGTGGAATGAAAGTAATGAACGATGCTAATTTAGGCGACTGGGTTGTGTTCCTGATAAATGAGTTTTCTCATAGGGCTCCCATTTATATAGCCTGTTCTGTTCTTTTTATTAGTACTGTTTGTTCGCATAGAACATTATTAGTAGCAACATAATAGAAAACTTCTGCAGAATCATGCACTGTGTCTTGATTTTATTTTTGATTTTATTGATAGACTGCTCATTGGAGAAAGAATTTTGGTCAAAGAAGAAGAAGAGCTCCACAATAAAATGTGAGGAAGTTTCCAAAGTAAGAAAGAAAAGTAAATGTGATACCTCAGAAGACCAGGAGATACAAGCTATTGGTGGCAAGGATGCATCCATTTTTCTTTTCCATGCTCTGGGAAAAATTATCTATTGCAAAAGTAAGAAAACTTTGGCTTGTTCCCCCTTTCACTGGGCAAAGCATGTCAGCTGCTACTAGCTGGAGTTGCTAAAGTAAGGCTTTGGATGGCCTCTGTCTGGGGTGTTTGGTCAGTAACAGTCATATAAAATCTGCTAAATCAGGGTCCCTAATGCCACTGGCTGTGCATATTTTAGTAGTAACTCACAATTACAAAAACAGCTGAGAAGAAGTAATGAGGTGAGGGAATGCAAAAATAATTTGATTAGATTTCTTATCTGAAACTTAATGCAGCTAATTGGGTATTGATGACTGTGTGATATTGGCTATAATAATTAAGTACCTGTGCCTGTCCCAGGGCTCTCTGGGAATGGAGAATCTGTAATTTCGCTGCTGCTGTAGCTGACAGTTGCTAACAGCATTTCTGAACATGCAGACTAAAGCCTGTGCAATCCTTTTCAGGAGAAGCAGTGTCAGAAGCAGAGTGCCCTCAGCTGCCTGCTCACCTGTCCAAACACCGCCGGGACACCTTGCTCATTCAGCCTGAGGTACTCCTGCAATGGCTTCACGAGTTCAGAGGGTCCTGAGGGACTGGAGCAGATACTCAGCCACATGGCTTTGGTCACTGGTCTCAGCTGGTGTGCATTCAGAGTTAGAGAATCACTCATCTGGAAGGGACCACTGGGGCAAACCAGCTCCTTGTGTCTGGGCATCAGGGCACAGACCTTGTGTTCCAGCTCCCTAGCCTACCTGCATCACAGCTTTTCATACACAGCATCCTTTTCCTTATCCACCTGTAAAATCCAAACTTTTCTTCTTCCTGACAGGATATTGTGGAAAAATCACATATGTCTGGAAGCATGTTCAATCTATACCTGCACCAGAACTACGTGGATTTCTTTTCTGATATAGATGATGTTGTGCGGGCCAGTGAATATCTGAGCACTGCTGATGTCCTTTGTAGTAACTGGAGTGTAAGTGTCATCTTTTAATAGGCCCACACTTGTTTTTAAGTACTTTGACATTGAGCCTCTTGACTTTTTGCTGTGTTTTGGAAAGTTTGCTGTGAACTTAGGGTGTGAGTGACATGAACTGTTAAAGAATGCTAAAGTACATCAGCTGCAGAAGAGATGCAGAGCCAACGTTCTGTCCAGCTTCTGTCAGCATTTTATTACAGTGGGTTGTAGTGCTTGTAGGATACTCTACGAAGTGTATTTTGAGTAGAATATGTTTGTGCTAAGGAACCAAGCTGTTTGATTTTTCTCAGCTGCTTTCAATACAGGCTTTGCCATAATCTAAACTTAAAGATGCTGTTCATGTCGTGCCACTGCAGTTCCTGAGTGTGTTTCAGTGCAAATGAGCTCACACAAGGCCCCATTTCTCTCTCAGACACGGCTTGTGATGGAGAGCTACAGTGCCTCCGTGGCTACCCGAGGGGTGATCCACTCCAATACATCCAGAGCCTTTGCCCACCAGCAGGGGGGCATGGGGTTCCGACCCTTGCATAAACCCCAGTGGTTTTTGATCAATAAGAAGGTAAGTCCTAGATTTTATTTTTTCTTCATTCTTTTTTCCCCAGAGCGTGACTGTTGAGTAGTATGGATGAAATTTGATCACAACTTGTAAAATACCCTATTTTGAGAGAATCTGGTTCTATAAAGCACTTGCTAGAAGAGCAGTTTGCATCACTACTTCAATGTAAAATTAAATTGGAGGCCTCTGACAAAGTGTGATGTCTGTGTCCAAGTTGACATGTTCCTGGGAGACTCTTAATCCTAAATTAATAGAGAGACAATTGGAATTGAAATACTAGTAAGTATTTCTAGAATTGAGTTTGGTTTTGTGCAGCTTGAAGCACACTGAACTGTTGTATAAGTGTAAGAAATTTCTGCTGTTACAGTGTATGTGTTTATCAGAAATAGCTTGTTCAGGTGATACAGCAGGTCTTGGCATGATTTTACATTTGAACTAATATATTGGCAAAAAGCATTGGCCTGGATTGGCTGGGAATTCTGTAATCAAAGAATATTTTTTTTTACTTTATTTTATTATTTTTTAAAATTTTAATGCCTAGTAAAAGGCAAAGTTGAAGAATCATACCATTTTTATGATTGATATGTTAACTGCTTACCTTTTCTTTATCTGGTCTAATTTTTCAGTAGCTCTGTGTAGCAGGCAGGAAGAAGGTCTGTGTGTTATGGTACAGAACATCTACATTCATGATGGTTTACCAGGCTTTTTACTTGTGTTTCTCCCCCCTCCCAACTCTTGCAGTATCAGGAAAATTGCCTTGCTGCAAAATCTCTGTTTTCAAGCTTCTGTTTACCCCCCGAGTGCCTTCAGACAGAGCTGCTGCCTTATCTTGCTATGTTAGCAAACCCAATGAGAAACCAAGGTAAGGTGGATCAAAGTAACTCTTGATCTTGGGCTCTTTCTGCAATTGAAACATACTGACAATTTCATAAGCTGAAAGGTCAATACTGCTTATGCTTTTGCCTCAGTATAAAACATTCTGCTGGTAAATGTTATGTAGGTGATGCCCAAAGATGCTTCCAGTACCGCAGCCAAAATTAAAGCTGCCCTGGCAGGTTGGTCAAACTTCAGTGATTAAGGTGCTCTCTAGGCTTAGGGCTTTATTATATTTGCTGGAGGATTTGATGAGAGGAGATTTGGAAAACCAAGTAGGCAATATTGATTAGGTCTTCATTGCTTACTGAATTCCACTAACAGCAGCAGACTTACAACACCTCAGAAAGCCTTTCACAGATAAAAGAAGCAAAATTCAAGTTTGCAGTGCATTAAAAAAGGAAGTTAAATCTGAGATAATCCATTAGCAAACAGTTGACGCAGAAAAACCTACTTTGTGTGGTACATAATGCAAAAGGTAGTATTTGGAGAGCTGGGTCACTTATGCTATTGTTAAAGGTTTTTAATAAAAAGCGTCATGTCTTAACTAAGGCATCAAGATGAGTGAATTTTGTAGGCTGTGGAATAAGAGCTCTACATGATAAATACACAGGGGATGAATGTCAGGGATCTGGAATTTTGTGTGTAAGCCATCTGTAAATACATTGTAGTAAACTGTAACAGTTCGGGGAAAGAAAAAAGTTACACACATGGTGTTTTGGTATCTAAAATATTTCAAATGTATACAGGAATACTCGACTAAGGTCACTGTTTTCCACTGTGTTCAACTGTCTGTTCATTATAATCTACCTAATATGATACTGGTGATCCTTTGTTCTTAGCTCAGATTGCTTTTATCCAAGACGTGGGGAGGCTGCCACTGAAAAGACATTTTGGCAGGTAAGCTGGACTTCTGTCTGTGGTTAAAAAAAAGTGAGACTGTGTCATGTATGGAGGGGAAGAACCCTTTCATTACATGGGTCTGTGATGTGACATTCAAAGACAAAGTATTTTTAAAAGTTCATTTAGTGAGTTATTTAATCTAAAATTAGATAGCTGCACTGGTTTAATCATGTAATAGTTTTGCCTATAAGGCTGCTTAAAATAAACCTTTTGGAATGCATGGTTTTTCATAGGCTCCAGCTACTGATTGCTGAAAACCCAGGGTGTTTCCCTGTGAGACTGCAGTGGCCTCCTCACAGGCTTTGTGTGCAATCTCAGGGGTGGCATGGCATGGCATGAGGAGCTCTGCTGTGACTCTTGTGAGCCCTCTACATCAGAGACTTCATTTACCCCAGTAGAGTCTCTGTTACACTTCTAGAGCTGTGATACCTCTGGAATTTAACAAGTGCTTTAAGTGGTGTGTTTCCAGCTAAGAATCAAGGTCACAGCTGCAGTGAGACAGACTGTCATCTCACAACCAGGACACAGTTTGTTGAGGCATCTGACAGAGCATCTCCTACTTGTCCCTGGTGTTGCTGCTGAGTTTAACTGTGAATTTCCAAGCACCACCCTGTTCCCCAGCTGTTGTATTAAAAGCCACGTTGGTTGTTGGTCAGGGAGGAAGGAGAGTGTCCCTAAGAGCTGTATTTCTTTGTCATCGCCCTGGTCTGCCCCACAAGGTGTGAAGCTTCTCAAACTAATTGTAACTTCCTCATCCCTTTTAAGTTTCCCTGCAGCATACCTGCAGATACTGCTGACATTTTGTATCTGCAGTAATGAGTTGGTGGGGTGTCACAATGTCTGATCTGAGGGGTGACTTCCTGCTGAAAACACCGTCACCCTTTTCCATCTGTTCAGTGTGCAGGAACCGTAGGGAGAGAGAAATGTAGGTATTTGCTTCCCTCAGGGGTTCTGATGGAGAGCAAACTGTGTTAGTGAGCATTCCCAAAGTGCCTCAGTGGGAGGGAACGGGGTTCTGCTGGAGCCCTGGCAGCGGCAGCAGCCGTGTGCCCGTGGTCACTGCGCTGGTGCCTTGCAGGCTGCAGCTGGAAGCTCTGGGTGACAAGGAGCCCGGGCTGCCGCTCCACGGGGACGGTGCCGACGGCGACCCCGAGGGGCTCCCCTCCAGCCAGTCCAGCAGCAGCGACCTGCCTGGCAGCCAGCCCCAGCCCATCGCAGCACAGGCCATCCTGGAGGAGGAGGAACTGCGGATCGAGGAGTATGACAGCGACTGAGAGAGCAGGACACTCCCTCTGCCGTGCCCGCGTGGATCCCAGCGCTGCGAGGCACTGCTGAAGAGCGAGCTCTGCCCAGCGCTGCTGCCGAGCCATGCACGAGGGCTGGGAGCCCAGGAGGGCTGGCAGCCCAGTCCAGACCTGCTGTGAGTGGCCAGACAGTTCCTGGTGTCCTCCTCACTCTGCAGGGCCAGCCCGAGCCCAGTGCTAAGGTACAAGCTATTTCCTGCCTCTCCTGAGCCATGAAATTGCCTTAAGGCAGTAACAAGAGAGAAATAAATGACTGAAATCAGTTGGAAAGAGACTGTAGATTAGCAGTGTCAGTCTTAAATTATTTTTATTTTTACACATTTTAATATACTTTGCAATTGTGCAGCGTGTTTCTTGAGCACACGTGCCTTAGGTTGTCAGCATTTGAAAGGTTTATTCAAATTCACTCTTTCGAAAAAACAGTTGTTTGGAAGTTTAGCCCTTCTGGAAAGAAGAGGCTGAAATTTACACCTGAAAAGTCTGATGTCCCATACTGATGATGTAAAGAAAACTTCTACTGTATTAATACCGTTTTGTACTCTGACTTACAGAAGACATAAATAAGATCTTCATGTCTTTATAAGTGGAACTAATGTTGTACCATGCATTATTTTGTATTCCCCTTGGAAAGATATTTTCATAACTTTTAGAGGGGAAAAGGCAGCAACTAAGCAGAAGTTGTAGTTTGTAGGAAGTTAAATGTATAACATGCAGTTTTTCCCCTTGACTTGCAGTTGTGCTGGGGGAAACACTGATCCTGTGTTTGGTAACTGATCGAGTGCTGTGGTTAGTAATACCACAGCAGTGAGGAAAAAAGTCAAACCAAAACAGCTTTGTGTGGTGCACGTTTGCATTTCTGTATTGCTTATGGCCAGTTTAGAGAGAGAGAACACGTTTATCCACCCTGACCTTGGATTAATGCTATTAAAGAGTCTGGATCTGTCCTCTCTCAGGGGTCAGGTGTAGCCTTTTCATCTAACAGCTATTGCTTCATTTTGAAGGGGGAAACTTCTTTCTTAAGTCTAAAATTCTGTTACACCTGTACTCATTACAGCAAATGAGAATGTCCTTGGCTGTTGATGACCATTAACCCTTTTCCTCCTCCACAGGGTGCTTTGGACGGGCTGTTCCCGGGGTGCCTCCAGCACAAGTAACAGAAAGGCACAAAATACTGATTTTTATCTTGCAGGCACACCCACACCCTCCTTTGTTGTATCTTTTCAGCTTTCTTTACAGTAGCACCAGATAACTGCAGCTGCTGTGTTGGCCTTTTCCTTGTTAGGGCAGAATTCAGTGCTCAGCTGGCACCGTGAGCTACAGCGTGCAGAGCTGTTGTGCTCTGTCACATGAAAACACCACCTGGGCACACAAACCCCCCATTATTCTGTTTGCAGCCTGAGTGTTTTGCAGTGCTAGTGCTGCCCCATTAAAGCCAGTCCCCAATTAACAGCACGTCAGGTGATGCCCAGGTCGGGGCTGGCAGCACAGGCAGGTGCAAGAAGGAGTGTCAGTGCAGCTCCCCTGCCATTTTGGCTCCCTGGACACTGTCCCAGGTACAAGGTGAGGAAAGAGGAGAACTAGGCTTCAGATAGGGGTGAAAGGGACATGGGGTGCTGGTCAGCAGTGATTGGACATGAGCCAGCAGCCTACCCAGGTGGCCAAGATGACAAATGGCCCCTGGCCTGGATCAGGAATGGTGTGGACAGCAGGACCAGGGCAGGGATTCTTCCCCTGTGCTCAGCACTGGTTGGGCAGCACCTCGAGTGCTTTGTTCAGTTCTGGGCCCCCAATTTAGGAAGGCTGTGGAGGGGCTGGAGCGTGTCCAGAGAAGAGCAGCAAGTCTGGTGAGGGGCTTGGAGCACAGGTGAGGAAGGGCTGAGGGAGCTGGGGGTGTTTATCTGGAGAAAAGGAGGCTCAGCACAGACCTCATCTCTCTCTTCAGCTCCCTGAAGGGTGGCTGTAGGCAGCTGGGGCTCTTTGTCCTGGCAGCCGCCGACAGCACGAGAGGAGCCAGCCTCGAGCTGCACCAGGGGAAGCTCAGGTTGGACAGCAGGAAAGAATTCTTCACTGACAGAGGGACTGGGCACTGGGATGGGCTGCCCAGGGAGGTGCTGGAGTCACCATCCCTGGAGGGGTTTATAAAAAGACTGGACGTGGCACTGAGTGCCATGGTCTGGTTGTTAGGGCTGGGTTGGACTCGATGATCTCAAAGGTCTTTTCCAACCTGGCTCAGTCTGTGATGCTGTTCTTAAAAACGAGATTCACTTAATAAATTATAAAAAGAATTTAATATAAACAAAAGACAATTAGGAGACAAAAGAAATAAAGCAAAGGGTTAAAACGGCCGGGTGCCCTGGTGGGTTGCCAGGAACACACCTGGTATCTCAGGAGTGTCCTTTTTATCCCCTCTTTGCTGTGAGAGGTTAATGCATATTCAAGCATGTCCCCTCCCTGGTTCCACCTTCTTGGATCATGTTATTTTCTGCTGGTCAGCATTATTTTTGCTGGTTATTGTTATTCTAGCTGGTCAGTATTATTTTGGAGTTTGGTTTCCTTTCTGCTGCAGATGGTCACTTGTTGATAAGAGTCCAGGCCCCTTATACTTCCTCAGAGA